CAACACTTTCGATGATCTCCTTCACCCTTTCCGACATTCAAAACTTACTTCGCACTGTGAAACCCTCGATTAAGCCCGGTCCTGACAGACTTTCACCCACTCTGCATCGTTATAGTGGCCCCGACTTAGCTGTTATCCTTTTAAACCTCTTCACTCTCTCACTAAACAACGGTATCTTCCCTGCCCAATGGAAATCTAGCATCATCATCCCCCCACCACACAAAAGGACCCCTACAAGCCATTGACAACTACCGTCCAATAAGTTATACACCCAAAGTAGCCAGATTAATGGAAAAAATCGTTAAATGACACAATACAATACCTGCTGACAAACAGTCTCAGCCAGCATGGTTTTCTGAAAACTTCGTTCATGCACGACATGCCAATTTGACTTTTCCAATCTTCTTACGGCATCGATTGCTTGGGGAATGTCAGTCATAGTATTATTCTTGGACATGTCGAAAGCTTTTGACTGCGTCTCACCTGCACGACTTCTGGCAACCATTTGCGGTTAGGGTATCACCGGCTCTCTCCTGGCATGGATCACCTCATACCTTTCATACCAAACCCAAACAGTTATGGTCAACGGCTCTCAATCGAGCACCAGACCTATAACAAGCGGAGTCATCCAAGGTAGTGTCCTTGGCCCTTTACTGTTCGTCATGTATGTAAATGATATCTTCCGAGTTATAAAATTCGGCGTCCCTTTCCTATATGCTGATGACGTTACAATCATCTACGCGGCTGAGGCAACTGACTCTTCCAGCTTAGTTCAGAAAATCTCATCCGACTTACTCTCCCTTGAATCCTGGAGCGCAACATAGCGCATGAAGTTTTCAGCCAGCAAAAGCGCTGCCCTTACCTACCGATGTGCCTTATCCTCTGGAACCCTAACCCTTCATGGCTGCCCCATTCCTTCTGACTCTACTGTAAAGAACCTGGGCATACAGTACTCCTGTACGCTCAACTTTTCAGAGCAAGCAGCTTTTCAAGCCATCAAGGCACGCCAAACATCTGGATTCATCATAAGGTCCCTGAAACTGCAGGAAAGCAGACTCCTATGCTATAACACCCATGTATGACCACTCTAAGAGTATTGCTCCAGTTATCTACTCAAACGTGAGCAAAACCTCAAGAAGAGCACTGGAAAGTGTTCAAAGGGCATTCAAAAAGCAGCTCTTTTGCTTCTCCTCCCAGCTATCTTACAAAGAACAATGCGAAAGCCTGGGGCTGGAACCTCTCAGGTTGCGCCGTACAAAGCTGAGCTTAGGCGTCTTTTACAATATTCTTCATAAACGCATCTTCTCTTCGACTACACAATTGGATTTCAGAAACGGATGTGGCCACGAACTTCGTAACCGAAATTTCACTTTACCCCTCTTGTTCTCCAGGGTCTCCATTAGGAACAACTTCTTTACCTCTGTGTACTCCAAGCTATGGAACAAACTTCCCAGTGGGATCCGATCACCTATATCCATTCACTTCTTCAAAGATGCAATTAATAAATTCCTTACGGTCCAAACCACGATGCAGCTCACCAAGTCAATTTCGACTGAAGAAGATGCTTTTGCACGGGGACTGCATTTCTAAAACGGCATAAATCATTGTTGTTTTTTAATTTTTTATGCGGACGTGCTATGACCTCCTCCAAAAAAGACAGATTTTGCAATACATCATAGGGTCACGCATAGATCACTTCCCTGTAACCACACGATCCTCTTTCTTTTGATACCTTAACTGCCGAAAGTAATCCCAATTTTAGTCAGGCACTTTCTTACTCCTCTATTTTAACTCTTGCTTCCTAAGTAACATTTCCCCGACGAAATCCGCTTCGAGAAAAATTAAAATCATTTTTTAAAATTTCTGTTTCAGTCTAGGTTAAGAAATCCCATTTGAGCATTTCCACTCAAATGGCGTCGGTGCTACTTGGACCAGAAAAACCTTGTTTCCTCTCCTGAACTCACAAGCTCTAAACTACTTGATCGTCTTCCCTCTGGTATCTTGCCAGCTGAATGTCTCTAAACTTCAGCCAGGTTCTCTCTTGCTTTTCTATTTTCACCTTTGCCTCCTATACATCTTTTCCTCAACGAATCTGTTTTGACGCTTCAGAGCCAAATCAGAATCACTATTTTTATTTCAGTTAAGGTTTAGGAACCTCGTTTGAGCATTTCCGCCCAAATGGTGTCAGTGCGACTTAAACTAAAATGTCCTTCGTAGAACCTTGTTTTTTCTCCTGAACTCAGAAATCCTTCACCGCTTGGTCATCTTCCCCTTCGAATCGTGCCTGCTGAATATCTCTAAACTTCAGTCAGGTTCTGCCTTTCCCTTCTATTTTCACCATTTTCCCTGTACATTTTTTCGTCGAGGTGTGCGTATCGTACGCTTCACGAATGTCAGCATTGCCATTTGTATTTTCATTGCCAGGTCTCTCTAATGGTCATTTGTCGAAACTGTTCTCTTTGTTCAATTTATCAGCCCATTTTCCCGACGGTTCTGAAGTTCCAGCGGTAGATTGCGCAATAACATGCATGCTTCCTCTCCTTCCCTCCCCCACTCAGCTAGGAACCAAACCTAGACTGTTTAGCATTTCCGGCTTCTTTTCTAGAGATCTTCTGCTGTCAGACTATCGGCGACTCCTGTCGGATCGGTAAAATACTCACCGTTGAAGAAAACTGAAGTAAACCGAAAAACCAAAAGCTGAACTCTATGAAATCTTCGATCAGTTGGACCGTTACAGTAAACAAACTCATTGTTGATTGGCAGGCCTACACGCAGCGATCTAAACGTCTCGTGTTTTTTATCGATGATAGAAGACCTGGCGAGGCCTGAAACCTCTCCTCCCTGTCTTGACCCGATCACCCTCGCCCAAACAGTGATTTCACTTAAAAGCTAGTCGTACCGACAGGACTTTATATAGCCATTTTTTTCAAACTTAAACCTTCCAGCACATGCACAAAACAACCTTCAAAACAACTCCATTCAGATTTTGTATCTTTTCACCTCCACACAATCAACATTTGATATCCTTACCGCGTCCAGTATGCGCAGTTTTCATTTCTCTTCCCTGATTAAACTCAGTTCTAGATAACGCAAACCCATCGACATGTGTACACGTTTTCACTTCTTACATTTTCTCCTCTGTGACTTTTCGTCTTCATATCTCCTTATCCACAGAACTATAACCTGTCAGAAATGTGCTACATTGCTCACCTTCCTTTTTATGAATTTCCCGAATGAACAAAGTTGTCCACTGACCGTTCGCAAACAGATCGCATTCCGTTTTTTCTGAACCCCCTTAACTGTTGACCCAAATGATCCACCATTTATTGTACAAAATGATCGTGCATCCCAGAATGCCTCACGACTTTCGTTGTGAAATATACCACTGTTATTGTTATTGTATGCAACGATTTCATTTAGTCATTCCCGGTAGGGGTCCAATGAGGTCGATTCGCGGTCGCTCATTCAGAACGCCCGCCGACATTGATGTCATTGACGCTTTGTTGGGCGTCATTGGCGCTCTTGTGGAATCATAAGGGCCTGCTTGACCAGAGTGGAAGCCGACCCAGTGTCTACCAGTATTCTAATTTGGACCTTATTTACCAACGCGAGGATAAACGGCAATGAATTGGAATGTATGAAATAAACAAATGGGAGACTCAATTGAGTGTCTGTTACGTGGGCTCAAGCTGTTCCACATCTTTTTCGGTTTCTCCCAATTACTGGGTCCTTTTCTCTCCTGTCATCGGGTGGTGTTTGGAGCTCCTTCGAGTTTTCACAAGATCTGGCTCTTATGCATATTTGGGGGCTGCTGGGTGTCCTTCAAGGGACGATCGACGGCTTCCTGAGAAGACACTAGCGGTTTTTCTGCAAACGAGATTTTACGGCGACTGGGCGGACGACATCAGCAAACTGCTGTAGTAGCGAAAGGTCCCTGAAGCTTGGGTCACATTCCGGAAGAGCCGATGTGGCCAATTTTGGCAGTTCGGTGGCAAGCTGCTGCGCTGTTTCACAAAGCACTCGGTGGCGAAAAGCATCCCAAAGTTCCTTCTTACGGCGGCGAGGTACCAAAATAGGTGGTACTGTGGAGAACGTCTCATATGTCACCTCTTCTGACACATTCTGATAGATCTGGTCGTAGGCTGCTGCGTCTATCAGTGTAAGCAGTAAGTACTGGCGTTTCCCCGTTTCCCACATTTTGATGTAATGGTTGACCTGCGATTACCAACAATTATAATTATCGCCAATGTGAAACTTGGGAGCGGATGGGATTTGCTGTGTGGCCAAGCTCACTGTTGCTGACTGTAGTACAGATAACGCTTGAATAAGGATAAGATTAATATCCACTCTTTGTTCTTCTCAAGAATCGGCAGTTTCGTTTGGATTTGGCATGATTTGCACAATCATCGCACTGCTGCCACCAGTTGTATAATGGATAAGCTTCAAATATGAAATTCCGAGGGAGTAAGTCGTAATCAACAACAAGCAACTGAAGTCACAGGCCACAAGTGCACGCGTTCAGGCTTCACACAAAGGAAAGACGAGCGAGCAGCAACAGGCGTTTATCGTAACCACCTTCAACGGTACAGAACCGGAAGGGCGGGGGGGGAGCAAACGTCCAGGTCATGTATATACAAGAAGAGGAGGTCAAGGTCACTCTGAGAATAGGGGGGATTAACTGATGGAGCGTTCGTTTCTTTTACACGTTTGTCGGTAACGTACAATAAATTAACTGGAACACAGAAAAAACGGAGTGTTAATACAGATTGGTCAGTACAAACCGACTATCTGGAAGCATTCGCTCGATCAATTCAATATTTCACTTAAAAATAACTCACAACCGCTCCCTTAATATCCCGTTACTCATTCGTCTATCGGGCGCTCACATAAGCGTTGACACAGAATATGACTAAGTCTTCTATTTTTAACAAATGGCCACAAGGCTGCACGCAACACCTACGACGCTGAACGTTTTCATACCTCCTCATTCCGTTGTGATTTGGTTTGCTTCTGAACTTCTGTTGCTTGATGTATATTTTTTGTTTCATTTCCTTGCTGAAATCCAACTAATTTTCTCTTTTTATTCAAAGCCAGAATGAGCATTTTTATCTTTTCTTCAGTCGAAGCGTAGAAAACCTTTTGAGCAATTTCCATTCAACTGATATCGGCTCTACTTTGACTGAATAGTCCTTTAATTAACTTTTGTCTCTTCTTAACCGATCCTTTTCCCGAAAACTTATTTTGTCCTATCTTACCCTCTGTATTTGTGGTCTACAATCCACCAAATGTTTTTGAAACTCTGTTGGCCATATCAAGCTTATTTTATTTTCTCTTTTTCATATTTGTAACCCAGTCACTTAATTCACTAGCTAGTGAACTCTTGTTCAGTACTCTTTTTAACTCAACGTTTTTGATCTCAAAATCCTCTCTCCTCTAATCTCTCATTTAAATTTTTCTGTTTTTTCTTTCTCTCTTCTTTTCGTGCTTTCTCTTTACTTTTCGGCCGCTGTCACATCATTGCTGTTCTGCTTGATCAAAATACCGTACATCAAATGTCGCCTTTTCACTTCTAACTTAGACATCCACTCTTCGCATATGTCTATTCTCGGTATCCCTCAACTCCTCAAATACTTCAGACACTCACTTTCTCTTCCTGTCCGAGTTTTAGCCCTACTCTAAACGTTATCTTCAAACGCTAGCCAATAACGGAGACTGCTTAATGGAAGTCTATATCTCTCCAATTGTTCTCTGCTAATGCAAATCTGCATGCTCAAGCTCCTTTAATCTAGGCCTTTCTGGCAGTTCTGTCAACACAACATAGCCCTCCTGTTCTCTCCACTGGATGTTTCGTAAATCAACCGGTGTGCCTCATGAACAACCGTTCTCCAATCGGCCCCCACCCGGTAGAACCCTTCGATTGATTCACTAATTAGCCTACTTCGTGTCCTATCATCCACACTACCTTATTTCCCTTGGGGTGGATTTAAATAAATATCATCATTTTGACAAAACGAAACGTTATTTGATGATGGTCCACTAAACGACCAATTTCTCTTAATCCATCTATTACCCCTCTTGAGCGACGGCTAACGTAGCACAAAAAACAACACCCTTTTTATTATGCATGCGGATGATTATTTAATATCAATTATTCTCATACTCTGGACCTTTTAACTTTTCCTTTCCGTGGTAATCCATTAGGTTGCGGGTTTGCTCGTGTTTTCCATTCCGCTTATTCTAATGCATTCCTGTAATATTCCACGGTATTTGCTGTTAATTACTGTCCTTGTACTCCTCATCATGCAATGACAAGCAAGGTTTCTTGAATTTCACTAACATGACTCCTTTTCTACGATGTATCTCACTCTCGTCACTCAATTCTACTCGCTCTTTGAACATTTTACAACTTGATGCGTTTATTCCACAGCATTAAAATAATAACCATCTATTCTTTTCTGGCTCATTATTGTCTACAAATGAAGCCTATTCAATTTGTGTTCTTTTTCGGCTTCTACACACTTTAACTACTGACCCTATAATTTCCCACATCAATGTAATTCTATCGTTTTTCCATATTGAATTATGCACCTTTGATCATGCATTTCAGCATGCTTCATGCCCCGCTCGCGTGAATTATTAATAATAATAGTAGTATATTTCTTAGTTTACAGTAAAAGGCATGCAAAAGATGCACGATCAAAGCAGGCATGGTAAAATTACAATGCCACTACATGAAAAGCCATCAAATGTTTGCACAAAGGCAAATCGATTGTGGGAATGAGTCATAGTGAAGAAATGTTCAATGGAATGTACTGTTGTTATAATGTTCCATTTGATGATGTAGCGCAACTTAGTTTCAATTTCAAGATCATCATAGTAATAGGAATGATACAATTTCGCTAAATAAGCACGCATGTTCAAGTGTTATAAAGATAAATTCCATGTGAAAATTACAAACGTTTCCAGTGTAAAACAGCAAAAAGAGGAAGAAAAAGAGTTCTGGGATGGGTTGAAAGGTTTCCATATCCACAGATACAACAGCGCCTTATGCGACTAGAAAAAACCACTGTTGTCAATTGAGGGTTAAAAGCTCGCCAGTTTGACTAAAGAAATATAATATACTATAGTACAGATATGGCAAACCTTTGGCTATCTGTTGATCTCCTCTATCAGAGTAGACTCCATCAACGAAGTATTTCATTAGCATAAAGCAAGCCACAGACACGAGAGCTCCTGTGCTTTTTCCCTCCCTTTCTCAGCTGGGTATTACCCCTGATTGTTGAGTTTCGCCATTTTGTTCCAGATTCGGTAGGCTTGGGCCTACCGAAGGCTTAGGGTCGACACCCTCCCGGCAATGGTCGTTGGGCACGGCTGTTTCCACTGTGATCACACCCCCTGCCTCACCTACATGGTGTTTTAAGGTTAGGTGTCTAGCGTGTAGTCAGTCCCGCATCAAAGCGATCAACGTCTAGTTAATCTAAATGATCTAAATAACTCAATAATCGATTGAAGCCTCGAACCCAATGGATGCGTTCTCAGAAGCAAGCTGTAATCCAGCATAGAGAGAAATATGTAATTTTACAAACGTATAAACTCACTGTACTCTTTCCTATTCATTCCTGTCCGCATGTCTCCATCCTGATCCTTAATTTGTTGCACAAGTTTTCCCCCTTATTTTCCTCCACTATTGCCACAAGTTCAATCCTCTCGATCTCAGGTTCGCTTTTACTTCAATTTCCATTCACATGGCTATTCAGTGCATCCTTCATCTTCCACCTATTCCTCAGTGACCTTATCTGCTTTGTATTTCTTTTGCACTGGGTTTCCGTTCAGCTCCCATCATTCTTCCATTGTGTATACCTTCTACTTAAACCTTCTATATACCTACACTGTTAATTTATATACGATTGCTTAGAACATATGATCACGCTTCGTGCATGCCTCACGGGTTTCGTGACATATACCTAATTATCATTATTATTATTAAAATAATTATAGATGTTTTCCATTGTTTGGGGTATATACTGAACCTCATGGATAGATTAAATAAATTCAATAAGATTATGAGAATATGTGGGCCTCCATAACAAAAAGCGGCTAGAGGAATTCCATCAGGGCCAGATGAGTATGAGGGTTTGATTAAAAATAATAGTGGCGTAATGCCCCTGGGATAAAAAGACACTACAGACAGACTCTCACCAGAAAAACATACCCGGAAGTTATTAGGTTGAGAGGAGATCCTCTTTGAAGAGAAAGAAAAAAAGTTGTTAAATACCTTACATATGTCATCTGGGTCATCTATATGAGAGTTGTTGTAATTAATGAAAGGGATGTGTTGGTGTGGTTTGTGATTCCTAAATTTCATTATTTATTATATACTGTCAGTCGTTTTAGAATGACAGAGAGTTGTAATCTCTTGCTGTGTCTAAAACCAGTGAGCATACGTGTTGATGAATCTTGATAAAACGTCTAGCTGAATGTATAACGCTAAGCTCTGGGTTTTCTTGGCTTTTATCTGAAGTTTGGCAAATTTATTTTTCATGCCGTAAAGTTTGGTTAGTTTTTTGCTAACCCGAAATGACCCCGTAGGAGTGACGGTGTCAGAACCTTTATTAAAATTAAAATATAGCTGATCACCCACCAATCGTGAACCAGATGAAACAAAGGAAGCATCCCAGATTTGTAATCTTATTAACTCTGGACTCGGTGCCAATCAGCTAAGTGAAATAGCCTGGAGAGTAAGATGGTTTTAATTTTAATATCCGGCAGGGAAAACTTACAGATGATTGCTTTGTGGTCACATTTAGGGAAACCTTGTTTAACGGATGTAAAAGCGTTAGTGAGGCCCTGGGTAAACACAAGATCGAGAATGTTATTTCCCCTACTGAGAGATCAAACATGTTGGGACCACCCACCGACACTTTTGCACGTAGAAAATCTTGATAGCGTCGTGGACCCGTAAACGAGGACCAAAAAACATCTGGGGCATTAAATTCGCCGCAGATCAATTTGTGTAAAATTGGAAGGTAAGCAACTAGATTGCAAGCACTGATAGTAATTATAAAGTTGTCATTACTCGACTCAGGACAGCGATAGATACAATCAAGAATGAGTTCCTGAGATTACAGTCTTATGGTTACCCACACTGAATCCTCCAAAGCGTCCAAAACTGAATGTGGCATTAAAGTAACTGGGAA